ACACCATAAATTGAAGTACCTGAAAACCTTCCTATGCACTTAAAAAATACTTATTAATCTATAAATTGTCAGCCATTGGAAGCCTGCTGTCAGAGAATTAAAGGAATAACCCTGTTCACCTCCATAAGATAATCTCAAAAGGAAGCATATCAGACAGGTAATTGAAAGTGCTTTTCTTGTTCATGATTCTAAAATAGTGTTCTTCTACTTAGAGAAGAATATAGGTCTTTCAAACAGAGATGATATTAAGAGACAACTGTCTTAAGAGGTTCTTGGTAATAACCAAGGCTCAGTACATGTATATTTACCACTAGGACTGTTCCATTGAAATATTAGATTTTTGTTCTTAAATATTTCTTGGGGATAGTGAATAAATTTGTACAAAGTCTATGAAATAAAAATTACTCATAGAGGAGCTAGACAGTTTCTACTTAAGTGAAGGAGAAGAGATTAAAGTTTAAACTGTGGGAATCTTTTGGATATAATTTGTGGGTCTGAAAAATTATATTTTTCAACAAATCTGTTCTGAATATTAGTGGAGGAATAAGAGAGTTGTAGAGCTTCCTCGTTTCCACACCTGGAGGGATTTACAAGGGTTTATTTTATTTTAATGATTGAATTCTTGTTACGTTCATAGGATTTTAGTCTTAGAAAGGTGATCATTTGGTGAAGCTCGTTTTTCCATCTGAGGAAACTGAGCACCAGAAGATCGAGAGGGAATCAATTGCTCCCTCCTTGGAGTTCCCAGGACTCTTGGCTTGTGGTTCTGTAATGAGCTTGTATTCAGATGTCTTCTGTGAATTGCTTATGTGTACATTGTTGTCAATCAGTGGTTTGTAATTCCTTGAGAGTAAGCTCTGAGTCCAGTTTACTTTCATAGAATAGTGGGGAGCAGGGTCCTTTATTATTGCCTCCCAGCGAACCACAAGGAGGGTGTGTTTACTGATATTCTTTTATAGGCGAGGAAGCAGATAGGAAGTAATTCCAAATTGCCTCTATTCAGTGAGGGAGCTATGTATGGGAATATGAACTAGAACTACTGACTTAAAAGCCAGCTCAGGGGGCTGGGCTTATGGCTCAGCGGTAGAGAGCTTGCCTAGCATGTGCGAGGCCCTGGTTTCTATCCTCAGCACTACACAAAAGGTATGTGTCCAACTACAACTAAAAAATAAAATACTAAAAAGAAAAAAAGCCAGTTCAGTGTGCCCAACTTCACCATCTACCTGGTGCATGCACAACACTGTGTTCTGGAAAAGGTGAATTTATGAAGTACACGTGGTCTCTGCTCTAATGTAATGTTAAGAGAAGGCAATGTAAATTATATAATAGAGGTACAATTAAAGAGAGTGCTCGTGTGTGTGTGTGTGTGTGTGTGTGTGTGTGTGTGTGTGTGAAATGCCTCTTAGCAAGTTCCATCATTCTCTTCCTTTTTTTGTAATTGCCTACATCTTGCCAGACTTGATTCCTATAATAAATATATAAGAGCATGTATATTATATGTTCTCACAACCCTGGAAGCTGTGTTATTACTGCCAGTTCATAGTTGTTAAGTAACTTGCACAAGGTCACTCATCTGCTAGCTTCTGCATGTCTGCTTATTTCACCATACCCTGACATTTTCTTTATTGGCAAAAGGAGATTTCATCCATCCTTTTTGTCACATACGAATGTGCAGGTTTTATGTGGAGACTCAAAACTTTCTTTCTGGGTGAGAGCTGCATAAATATTAGTAGCAATAATTATGCTTACTATTGCTGAGTGCTGCCATTTTGTAGCGTTGCTCTCCTCTTTGCCTTGGAATTTGTATAATAAATTGTATGAGAATGTAAGGAGAATAGAAATGATGTCTTTCTACTGAGTTGAAGTGCCAAGTGTGTACACCACCCCCCTTATGATGGAATACAAAGCAGGTGTGGATGGGCTAGCTGGCCCATGAACCACATCCCTGTACCAGAAAACTACAGAGGAGACTGTGCCCATGATGGCTTCAGGGTGATACTCCAAAGGGTTCAGTCAACAGGTGGAAAGGGGAGGAGATGGTTGATGTCAGCCGTAGTCTCCCTAAGAGCAGAGGCATTGGATCCCCTTTGCTTATATCCATTGCCGGAAATACTGTTATAGACAGTTGGTTCCCAAATAGCTAACTAATTGCAGTTAGATGTGGTTTATTCACTTCATCTTTCTTTCTGCCTCTATCTGCTTATGAAGGCCTTAGCACATATTCTAGCCTTTTCTGGAATTAGTATTCCTGTTGACTATTTTACTACTGACACCTGAGTAATTAGCATTCATGTTAACCTCTTACAAGGAGAACTCTTAGACACTTGCCCAAGTCCTACACTTCTGTATTCCCATAGTACCCTGTGCTTACTTGTGTTCTGATATTTGCAATTATTTGCTTTTTTTTTCCATATTTGTTTATGACCTTTGGGTACTTTGGTCCCATCCCGTTCCTTTTTTTTAAAAAAAAAACTTATTTCTTTTAATTAGGTATGTATGACAGAATTTATTTTGATTCATGGTACACAATTGCACAGCACCCTTTTCATTTCTCTGGTTGTACACAATGTAGCGTCGTACCGTATGTGTAGTTATACCTAGGATAATGATGTCCATCTCAATACACCATCTTTCTTGCCTCCATGCCCACTCCCTTCCCCTCCCTCCATTTTTCCTATGCTGCCCGCCCCCACCCCCACCCCCCCAATTATGGATCAGCATCCATTTATCAGAACATTCTGCCTCTTTTTTTTTGGCGGGGGGGAGATTGGCTTACTTCACTTAGCATGATATTCTCCAACTTCATCCGTTTACTTGCAAATGCCATAATTTTATTCTTTTAATGCTGAGTAATATTTCATTGTGTGTGTGTGTGTGTATCAGTTTCTTTATCCATTCATCTATTGATGGGCATCTGGATAGGTTCCACAGTTTAGCTATTGTGAATTCAGCTGCTGTAAACATTGATGTGGCTGTGTTACTATAGTAGCTGATTTTAAGTCTTTTGGGTATAGACCGAGGAAGTACACATGGGTCAAATGGTGGTTCCATTCCACATTTTCTAAGGAATCTCCATACTGCTTTCCAGATTGGTTGCACCAATATTCAGTCCCACCACTTTTCTCCCACATCCTCACCAACATTTATTGTTGTCTGTGTTCTTGTTAACTGCCATTTTTGACTGGCATGAAATGAAGTCTTAGAGTAGTTTTGATTTACATTTCTCTAATTACTAGAGATGTTGAACATTTTTTCATAATTGATCAAATGTATATCTTCTGAGAAGTGTCTGTTCAGCTTCTTAGCCCATTAATTGATTGGGTTGTTTGCTTTTTTGGTGTTAAGTGTTTTGAGTTCTTTTTATATCCTGGATATTAGTGCTCTGATGTGCATGTGACAAATATTGGCTCCCAAAATGTAGACTCTCTCTTCACCTCATTGTTTCTTTTGCTGAGAAGAAGCTTTTTATTTTGAGTCCATTCCATTTATTCTTAATTTTATTTCTTGCATTTTAGAAGTCTTGTTAAGGAAGTCAGGGCCCAATCCGACATAATGAAGATTTGGGCCTATTTTTTCCTCTATTAGGCGCAGGGTCTCTGGTTTGATTCCTAGGTCCTTGATCCACTTTGATTTGAGTTTTGTGCATGATGAGAGATAAGGGTTTATTTTCATTTTGCTGCATATTGATTGTTTCTTAATAGACTATTTCTAGAGAAAAGGGGCTTATCACTTGGTACATAGAAGGTGAACAAAAATTATTAAATGAAAAGATGTTCCCATGTCTTACTGTGATAGGGTTAGTATTCAAATCAAGCTCTTTTCATCTGTTATTTTTGAAAGTAGGACTCAGAGTATGCATAGAGGTAGAGAAAATTTAAATATAATAAGCTTGATTTTTACACAAGTTTACCTGCTGGAATTCAAGGTTTCTTTAATTGGTTTTTATCCACACTCCCAAGATTATTCCTTAATAGGATCAAGAGAAAAACTGTTAGGCTAGGTTTGGTGATATAGACTCGACATTGACAAATCTCCTGTGTAGCTCAAAATAATGGTTTTCACACATTAGACATGCTGACAGCTTACTATAATTAGGAGTGCATTTCGGAGAACCAAAAGTAAATTCTAAGTTGTTTTTCCCTGATTTGCTCATGTTAAAATTGTACCACATCTTCCCAGAAATCAAAGTGATTGAGTTAATGCTGTTCAATTATTACGCTCCCTGTTAAATAATTCTTGCATCATGACTGAGTTGCTATTGCTTTGTTGACACCCCAGACCAACTTCAATATAAATAAATGTGGCTATTTAATCACTTATTCTCCTTTCCTGTCAGCTATTGGATTCTGGGTTTTGTTCTATTTGAATAGTTTTATTATTATTAGAGAAACTGCTAAGAATCATGGAACAATAATCCCATTGAGCCTCAAATCAAGCAGAGTCAAAATTGGTTGGCTGCTTTCTTAGATGACTAGAAGAGATTCTGACTTTGGGAGCTGGGGTGGGTTCCCCCCCACTCACTTATCCCTGGAGAAAACACTCTTCTCCTTAGTTCTCCAGCCATTTATAATGGGATTATTGAACTGCAGTTTTCTTGTGAAGAACACTTGTGGTCCACAAAACTTTAGTCAGAGGCAATGATGATGAAAACTTCTTCTAGAATGAATTATTATAAGTGACCAGTTGGTTAGAGCAAAAAGATGGTGTAGGTTTATGGCAGTTGTAAATGCAAGAAGGTACTTTGTAAGTTGAAAGAATAGGGCTGTGAGCCAGAAGCCTGTTCCTGGACTCTGTTCTTTGTCCTATCTTTGTAGTCTTCAGAGTAGTTTAAGAACCACTTCTGCAGTCAGCTCCAGGGTATTTGTGAGCCTTGATTAAAAGGCCAAAGTATGAAGGGCCAACCAGGATGCCCAGTGGACTTCACTATCTTCTCTTTGTTACTTACTTGCTCATGCCTATGCAACTGTGTATGAAATATAATCTTTCCATGCCTTTCACAGGCCGATCCCAAAGAGCTAATCAAGACGGTCACCAGGCATGTGACTCGACACGGACATGAAGCCTGGCCTGAAGACCTTGTTTCACTGACTGAGCAGTTACACTACTACAATGAGCGCCTCCTGGACTTCACTCAGGCACGACTACTTCAGGGCCTTCGGAAGGGGGTGGATGTGCAGAGGTTCACTGCGGATGACCAGTATAAAAGGGAAACTATCCTTGGCTTGGCAGAGTAAGTGATACCTTTGTCTTATGAGGGATGAATTTAAAATGGAGCAAAAGTAAAATTCAGACTATTAGTTCCAGTTCCTTGAAGATTCACATTAATGGTTGATACTAGCAGGACTTTATGCACTTTTTCCATTCATATGAGGAATGTATGTGTCTTCCCAAAAGATCAGTAAATGCAGACATCGTAAGCTACAGATTTAAATAGTAAGCAGTGGGATTATTATTTTTTTTTATAAAGTTTCCCATGACTTTAATAGCCCAATACCAAGACTATGACCAAATTAGTATTCCTGGTCAGGAATCTCACTTTCCAAAGTACATGCAAATTTAATTTCTCCAGTATGTTAATATGAGAGACAGTTGACTGACTAGCTAAGGAAGACCCCGTGCCATAGGTTCAGATGCCTTTATCGGTTCTGGGCCTCTAAGAAAAGAGAAGCTGCCTGGTACAAGTTTTCTTTTGTCAGAGGCAAGGAGCAGCTGCCAGTTTTTCTTTCGTGCCTTACCCCTTTCAAGAGAAGAGCAAGGCCTTGGATGAGGTGACAGTACAGCTCAAGGGACAGTTGTAAGAGTTGCATTCTAGGTATGGAATTCCCTTTGGTTTTAATACTGATGTCTGTTTTTTGTTTCAGGAGTTTAGATCAGATGAGAAGTATTTATATGTCAGGAGGTGGGAAAGTATGTTCACACATTATGGTTATTAAGACAGTTTGTTTTTAACATCACAACTTCTTCAGTGCTTACTGTGGGCAAGGCACTACATAAAGTCCTCTGTAAACTTTAAATATCTTATCATAGATAACCTCATGAGTTCAGATGTTGTCCCATATCCTCATCTAGCTGGATGTTGCTTAGGAGTAGGAGGTAACTGGCCCTAGTTTCAGTTGATGGTACAGATTGCTAGTCTGACTTTACCCTGGATCAGTCATGTGTCAAAGCCTTTGCATCTTCACGACACCACATGCCTTCCCTACATCCTGTTGCATTCTCAAGGGGCAGTTGGTGTGCAATGCAGTCTCAGCTTCTAACCTTGAAACTAAGGCTAAATTGTGCCACATTTAGCGGTCATTCATCTCTCAGGGCAAATTCCTTCAAAATAACAAAAATGGTCTTGATTATGGTAATGGTATGTCAGTTTTCATGGTATCATTTAAATCCTTGAGAATGTGGAAAAGTAGCCTTGATATTCTCTGATAATTTTATTATCAGACACTCCAGATTATCTTTAGAATAAGGCAGGGTGTGGAGAAATTTTTAAAAAATAGTGGGAACAATCCCCGGCCATTCTCAGTTAAGGGGAGAAATATAGAATATTTTTCTCTTCTCCTCTATCCTCCTGGAAGTTCATAATTTCAGAGTCATTTAATGTCCAATTTGAAAGTGACATAAGACATAGTTCAGTCTCCTTCCTTTTTGGAGGAGGAATTTGAGAATCGGAGAGCTTTAAGGAATTGCTTAGTGTCCTACAGCAGGAGATGAGCCTGGGTTTCCTAATTCTAAATTCACTGCTTTTCCTTTGGGCATTTTGTAATCCTTAATGCTGTGTTCATGATTTCATAGAAGAGGATTATTATGCAGAATAAAAGTTCATAAGGTAAGGCTTGCCTTCTGTCATTAGTTACATTTTGCTAGTGTTTGTCCTTTATTTACTTTTTAAAGTATTCAATTAGCCTATGCTATTTGAAGTATATACCAAAGGACAAATACATGCCTTTGATAAGTGTAGAATCTTCTGTACTTTGAGTTGCTTAGAAAAGTATACAGCAGTCTTTGGGTGGCTTGTTTAAGGTGCGTGAAAGTTTCTAAGGCTTTCAGCCTTACCAGTTCTTATTTTAGAGATGGCATTTCAGTGTCTTGTATAGATTTATAAAACTCATTTCTTGTTTTGCTCCTCTTTCTTCACTTGTATTGCAATGTGACCATTCTTTAGTTTCTTGCTTGTTATGTTTCTATTTCACAGTTGTTTTTTGTAAGTCCTTCATTATACACATGTCTACAATAATACCTTTTCAGGGGTCAGACAGGGTGGTTTTGAAGAGCATATGACACAATTTGTTCCCTTCCATCTTTATCAAGTGATTAAAAATACCGGTACTTAAACACAGTATGTCCCAATTCCAGGCAATGTGCTAGACCCCCATAATAGGAAAATAGACCCCCATTTTCTTGTACTTCTTTATATGCCTAGAATTGATAATGGTCCCTACTTGCAACAGATTCTCATTCTATCATGTACAGGTACTCAAAAAATAAGAAAAGATTTCAGTTGACAGTGACCTAATCCCTAGGTTGACAAATTTATCTAACCCTGGGATCTCTTCTTTTATAGCCCATGAGCAAAGAAGGACTTTCATATTTTTAAAGGTTTGTGGAAAACAAAACAATAAAAAGGCTATGCGACAGGGACTATGGCAGTAAAGCTGAAATATTTACTATGTGGCTCTTTACAGAAAATGTTTACCAGCCCCTGGCTAAGCAAACATATGTCATGGTTTACTTAGGGTGAATATAGTCTGAGCAGTTGTTAATAACAGATTTCATTTGTACTTCGCTGATTTTGGCCACACCTTGCCAAACAAGAATTCCATCTTGCATTTCTGCTGGGAACTAGGGGTTTTGCAGTAGACCTTAATGTGGGCACCATGGACCATTTTCTTGTACTTCTTTATATGCCTAGAGAATCTCAACCCTGGTGATGTCATTCCTTGGTTTCAACCTTCCACTTACTTTCAGTTACCTATAGAATGAGATACATGTCCGAGAAGCTTCAGGAGCCCTTCCTGCTTCACTTCTCATAGTTCCGTCTGTCTCTCCTTCCTGTTGACCACCTCTGCTTAGTTAATGCTTGTTTCAGCCTCCAGCTCAAGTTTGTTACTCTCCTATTCCTATTGTCACAGCATTTAGTGGTCTTTTTTTAAACTCTATCCCCATGATATTTAACTACCAGTTCACATCTCATATCATCTAGTAGACTGTGAGTTCCTCAAGAAATATCTTGTTTATTTTTATGTCCTAAATAACCAGCACAATACCTGGCACAACAGAGAAAACATGCTTACTGAGTAAGTAACTATGGCTTCTCAGAGAGCTACCTCACTGTAAAGATATACTATTTGCAGAGGCTCTAGAATCTGGATCAGAATTTTTTAACCTCAGCATTACTGACATTTTGACTGGATAATTCTTTCTTGCGGGGTGATGGGTAGGCCTGTCCTATGTATTGTAGGGTGCTCAACAGCATCTCTAGCATCTGCCCACTAGGTGCCAATAGCACCCTTCCCATCCCCCATTTGTGACAATCAAAATATTTCTAGACATTGTTAAATCTTCCCTGGGTCACAGAAGTACTCATAGTTGGGAACTACTGGTCTAGATTAATTCATGGTAAATTGCTGTGTACTCGGTCGAAAAGGAACAATCAGATTCCTTGGAAGTCGTTTTCTGAATTCTTATAAAATGGCTTTTATTAAGGGCTGTAGTGACTACCCTCACAGCTGGAGAGCAATCCCAATGAAAATTGTTTTTGCTGATTAAGGTAACGTGTTCCTTTTCTCTTTCCTGTGCATGGTGGACATTTCTAAAGGACTCTTGAAGAAAATGTCTACAACATTGCTCTTTCTCTGGCACAGCGGTATAGCATCTCCCGTTGGGAAGTTTTTATGACCCATTTGGAGTTCCTGTTCACAGACAGTGGGTAAGCATGAAGTTCATATGAATGTTTGTCCATGCTTCTCTTTTCAGAGTCTATTAGAAAAAAAATCTTGAAGTTACAGCGTACAACTTCAGGTTTACTTCTCAGCTATAATAGACTACTTTCCTAGTACTCTCTCCCTTTCACATTTGTGATATACTAATGTTAAGCAATAGCCTATTAATGTTTTTTAGTAATAAGAGCCTTGAGTTATACTTTACTGTTCATTTATATATTCATTCAGTTTCTGTTGAGACTCTTCACATTGTTAGTAGGTATACAGTGGTGATTCACAGTGTTAGTAGGTATACAGTGGTGAGCAAAAGCAGGCATCCTGGTTGTCTTGGAACATAGGGTATCAGTGAGAGACGACAATCAAGTAGTGACATAACCAAATGTGAAATTAAAACCAGGACAGGTACTATGTAAGAGAGCCCAGTTATGCGATGTGGCATAGTTAGGGAAGGCTTTCCTGTGGAAATGTTGGTTGAGTTGTGTTATGATCTGGCTATGGTTTGAGTGTCCCCAGGTGCTCATGTATTGAAATTTAATACCCATTGTGGGTAAATAAGAGAATGGGATCCTGCTATGGTGTTTAGAGGGTAGGACCTTCAAAAATAGATCAGGATTAGATAAGATTGGATGGAGTCCCCATGGTTAAATCTGGTTGCCACATAAGAAAAAAGAGAGGGGCCTAAGGATATAGATGCACATGTGTGCTGCCTGTGATGCTGTATGCAACCTAGGAACTCTACCAGCAAGAAAGCCATTGCTAGATGGCTTGAGACCCCAGATCTGTGAGCTAAGTAAACCTTTTCTTTATAAGATAGCCTGCCTCAGGAATTTCATTATAGTAATGCAAAATAGACTATTACAAGCTAAGACCTAAATATTGAGTCAGAATTGATTACAAGGATAAAGGAATCATTTCCTAGGTAGACAATATGGTAAGTGCCAAGGCCCTTTGAGGAACATGATGAGTCTAAGAGCCTGGCAGAGGAACAGGGTAGGTGAAGTCCAGTGAGTTGAGATCGTGGCACAAAATGAGACAAGCCAGACGATGCAGCAAGAACATGGAGGTGTCAGCAAGGGCTGTTGACTTCTTTGTAAGAATAGTAGGCTATTTAAATAGTAGGCTATTTAAGGATTTGGATGAAGGACGGGAAGATAGTATGACCAGATTTTCACTTTAAGATCACTTTCATGACTATGTTGAGAAAAGATTTGAAGGAAATCAGAATAGACATATACAGACTATTTATGGCACTATTATACAATAGTCTGCACCACAGGTGACCATAGATTGGAGTACGGTTTTAAAAGTGTAGGTGAGGCAAAGATGGGTTTGAGATATTTAAAAGGTAAAATAGATGGAACTTAATATATTAATTAACAAGAATAAATTAGATATAAAGGCAAATGAAAGGGGAGACATCAAGAATCATCCCAGCTGGGCATTGTGGTACACACATGTAATCCTGGCAACTCTGGAGGTGAGACGGAAGGATCATGTGTTGGAAGCCAACACTGCTGACTTAGCAAAAACCTGTCTCAAAAAGAATGGGGATGTAGGTCATTGTCCCTATGTTCAACCCCCCCCCCCCCCACTCACTCTCATCCCCAGCTTTTTACTTGGTCCACCTTTTGGGTGGTGGCATCATTCAGTGAGATGAAGCACTCTATGGAGGTCAACAGGGTGGAGAGGGGAAGAGAATGAGAAGTTTTATGTACTGAAACACCCCCGTCCCCAAAAAAATGGCAGTCAGCTGTTGGAACTTACCGATTTGGAATTCAAAGGAGAAGGTGAGGCCGAGGAACTGGCTTGGGAGTTATGTGCATGTCGCTGGTACAGTAGCTGTGTGTGTGTGTGTGCGCGCGTGCTCTGGAGAGGAGTGTATGGTCAAAGAGGCAGGCTTGAAGCAACCATGAGGGCCTTCATAGTAGCTGGTCGAGAGCTGCTAGAAAAAGGAATTAGGGGAGAGCAGTAGGATGGGAGGGGGAGAACAGGAATGGTGCTGAAGGGTATCGTGGCCAGAGCCTTTTAAGAAGCAGGGAGAACTGAGTGGGGTCAAATCCTGCTGAAGGGTCAAGAGATGCTTATGATGTTGCATCTTTAATTATTATTAATCAGTGAAATTTTAAGTACTTCATTTTAAGTATTCATCAGGTTACTACATGGTGACACTGTTATCTATGATAAATACTGCCCTGGCCTCACTATTTTTGAGGCATAGTAATATGTTCAAATAAATGTTTCTTCTGATGTGCATATTGGCATTTAAAAAAATATCATGGCATTTTGTTAATTCTTTTTTTTCTTTGTTACATAAAAGGATTCCATATCTGTAAAAACAGGAAGCTTCATTGGTCTCCGAATATATTATAAATTATCAGGCAGTCGAGTAATGTACAAGACTGTTCCTGGCATATCATTATACCTGATAGCAGTGTGATTATGCAGATGCACAGCAATTACAAACCAGGAAATCATTAGCTCCTGGCATCATTAATTGTGAGTGGCAAAGCATTTGATATTGATTTAGCAAGTATGTTAGGTCCTCTGTGTTCTTTACTTAAAACCCTTTGCCTTACTGTTCAAACATTTTTTTTTCCTTCGTGGACTGGGAATTGAATCCAGGGCCTTGCACATTCTAGGCAAGCACTCTGTCACTGAGCTGTAACTCCAGGCCTTTTTAAAAATTTCATTGAGACAAGGTCTTGCCAAATTGCCTGAGGTTCTGGAACTTGTGGTCTTTTTGCCTCAGCTTCTTTTGTAACTGGGGCTACAAGTGTGCATCACCTCTTCCAGACAACTAGTTAATCAAACTTGGTAATCTGATTATTAGAAATCAGCCTTGTTAATACAAAAATTGCCCATCATTAATTAGTTGAATTAATAGTAAATTAGTAAATAAAACTGTTCCTTTAAAAAAAAATCACCCCCTCCCCTCCATGGAGTTCATTCCCCTGTCATTGTACCTTCTCCCTCCTCTCTTGGTGGACTTGGAGGTGTGACCCCCACAGCAGCTTCATAGCCAGGTGTGGTGGAATGTCCTCAGCCTGTAGAGTATGAGCCCTCCAGTCAGATGGCTAGATCAGATCCCATTGATGTCATCCTATCTCTGTGTCCTTAGACCAGAACATTCACTTCGCTGAAGTTCATTTTCTTGACTTTAAGGAATAATAACAATGATTTAATGGTAAAAAATTTAACCTACAGCAGGCAATGCATGATTAGTGCCTCACTAAGGGCGGTTATTCCTTGTATCTCTCCTATCAGAGTTCTCATAAACACCCATACTTGAGTTCCTGGTTTCTTTTCCCCCTTCTTATACTGTTTAAAGCCGTATACTGCTTTTCCATGGTCATGCCTGAGTCACTTGGAACTGCTGGACAGTCTCTCATGGCTGCTTAGTCCTGCTGAAGTATGTTCTGCCCTGAGGCTCGAAGGTGGACTTGTCACTCACTGCAGATTTAGTATCCATTTCACCCTGAGGCTGCACTAGACATTGGTGGATCTTACAGACAGCAGGAGCTGTCAGCGGGCATGTGACCTGATGGGTCAGCATAGGGTTTGGAATCAAATCAAGTTTTAAGGTCCAGTGCTACTGGCCAGACCCACCAACTGTACAGCCTTTTGAGTGTTTCCTAATTCTCTTAAGTCACTGTTTTCTTAGTTATAGGGACTATTATTCTTACCCTGGAGGATTGTGAAGATTGGATGAAATCTGTGGAAATTGTGTAACTAGGTGATTCTTTCAGTACTCTTCTGGTTATTTCTCTTACTGTAATTTTTGTTAATTTTGCTGACTCCATGAGTGTCTCTCAGTTTTGGACACAGGATCCTTTTAAAATACTGGAGTTACGTGTCTGATATACTAGAACTATATCTATTAATGTTGTTGATGGTATTATTTAGTATCTTTGTATTCCAAGCGCAATGTGCTGAGTCACATTCTTGTCCCCATGGAGCTTATAACCTAATAGGGACCCCTTCTTCTCCTCCCTGTCCCCTAAAATAGCCCAAAAGTAAATTGCAAGTTTAGTAAGTAGCATAAAAAGGGTTTCTCTTCACAGGGACCCTAGATGTGCTGTGCTATTTTTCATAGTGAATTTCATATTCTCTAGGGAGGATTCATTCATCTCAAATGCAGAGATGGGCAAGAACATGGTGTATCTGTGAGGAGATGGAACAAACTGTAGTGTATCTGCCTTTTTCTGAGTTGAAGCAGATGAGACCAAATTTATGACTTGGGGTTGTTATTGATCATTCAGTGAGGTCTGTGTCCAGGTTGCCATGTTGTAAAGTAATCTGTCTACCTCTTCCAGGTTCCTCTCCCTTGAAGACCCTGACACAATTGAGGAGGTGGTATCAGAGTGATTAGTATATGAAGGGGGGAGATTTAAAGTCATACCTTTTCCTAGAATTTAAGGTACCTCAGTTTATTAAAGGCTTATTCTAACTTTGAAAATTAAAACAAAAATCCAGGACCAGGAAAGATACATATTAGAGTAGGGAATGTTGCATGTAGATATTCAGATCATAGGCCTTTCAGGGTTTTTTAAATTGAGCCATAAATTTGGTTCTAATTTCTTTCTTTTTTTTTTTTTTGGTCAGGGCTGGGGATCAAACCCAGGGCCTTGCATATATATGCCAGGCAAATGCTCTGCTACTGAGCTCCATCTCCAGCCCTTGATTTTTCTTTTGATCTAAGGAGAGAGAACTTGACCAGAACTGTTGTTTGTACACACACACACACACACACACACACACACAAATCCACAAGGCCTTAAAAAAATGAAGATACTAATTTCCATTGCTTTTAACTTGACCACTCCATTCATAGCAGAAAATGTTCTGTAAAGGAACTCATGGAGTATCAGTGTGATAGAACCTAGTCTCTGAGATATTCATTGCTGATTCTTCCATAAACTCTCTGGGTGTGTTTTTTTTTTTTTTTTTTGAAAAGTTGGTGACATTCATTTTGCCCACGTTTTCCCTCTAGTAGTCACAGGTGCTGCCGCGTCGAGGTCATCCTGAGGCATTCACACTCTACCCTTCTTGGGTTGATCCCCTTGCACGAGTGGTTGTAAGTTAGCATGCTGGTCATTCCTGTAGATTTGTAGACCTCCATGCTTTGGGACTGACTAGTCTTTGGGGAAATGGCCATAAGTACTCTACTGAACTGTCTCTCACATATACAATCTCATATGAAAATATTGGCTCTGTTGCTTTATTGAGTAAAACAGAGATCTGAATTTGGGAGACCCAACTTGGAATCAGTTTCCATCTCTTACTGGTTATGGGATTTTTATCTGTACTTTGGCTTACCTCAGAGAACAAGAATAACAAGGTCTTCTGCAGAGAGTTACTGTGAGGAGTAAACGAGGCAATCAGGGCAGAAGCACTGGCAGGTTATTGCTAAATTCCATTTAAATCCCATCCCCTTGCCCTGCAGCCCTCTCCCATTCTCTTTCTTCCTCCTCCCTCTCACATTCTAAGAATCCCTTTCAGTCAGCTAATGGAATTGCATTATCACTCAGTCTTAGACTGAGTACAGAAAAATGTATTTAAATAAACTTGTTTTCTAACTTTCAATACTTGCTGATTTTGAGTCATATTTTGGGGTGATTGGCAACTTGAAGCTGTTACAGAACACCTTAATGGTGGGATTAGTACTAAAAGTTTATCCCTTATGCATCGAGTACAGCTAACGCTAGCTTCTTCCTGTAGTTAATCTTTGAAAGTTAAATATGCACTGTATGTAAGCTGCTTTATACCTAAACTTGGTTCAGGAAAATGCACTTAAACTGTTTTTAAGGGTAATCATTAATTTGATTAGTGAAAAGTCCATAGTGGTTTCATGGTATTTCTTCCTACTCTCTTGAATGTAAGTTCTTTGGAATTGTTTTCTAGGTAGAGATTTCATTTCTTGTTCCAAAGGGAAGATAACAGCTTCTTTCAATGGAAACTATTAAAACAGCTATTGATTACTAGCATCTATAAAAGATCTCAGCACATTGTAATTTACTGAAAAGGGAGGTTTGGGTATTTATCAAGTGTCAGTAAAGGTATTCCACTATCTGTCTTGACAAGATAATTAGGTAAAATTGCACATGAGGCAAACTGAATTGTAGGCACAGAAGAATAAGTGGGTGGGCACAGGAAAAAGTAATGTTGATTGAGACAGACTAGATCCAAAATCGAGTCAAACACAGATGAACTAAATAGACTGTTATGATTTAGTCATTGTTTTCCATTTTGTGGATGAATCTGTCTTGAATACTGTTTATCAGGGTATTAGGAGTGAAGTGTGACATCAGAGCCCTTCGAGATTATTGCAGCAGAGCTTTCTGTGCTATTTCTCAAGTGGTTGTTAGTTTGGACACTTGACCTTCTAGAGTCAATGGCTGCTGTGTGATGTGTGGACAAACTTAGACTTTTGAGTCCAGATAGATCTGGATGCTTGGACTTAGGCAAGTCATGTAACCTATCTTGATAGCAGTTTCTTTAACTATGAGTTGATAATAACCCATTTTTAACTTGCTAGCCTAGCAGTCACCATAATAAAGGCAAATTTGTTTTTCTTCTCTGTTCTGCACCTTTTTCTGCTTGCAAGTCTTTGCCAATATGCATCATCTTAGCGGGGCTACATGGCTTATTTATCTCCTCATTGTCTTCAGACCTCATTTTGCAAGTTACTGTGAGCCACTTTCCTATACTATCATGTGCAGCTTTTTTTTTTTTCCCCCAGAGATGACATTGCACAATTAAGAGAAAAGATAGGGTCAAGAGTATTTTCTGAACAGTTGCCGTTTCTGCTGTCCTGTTCCATAATCAGGCCTTGTGCTTTCTTGCTGTGGTACTTTGATTCATGTTATTTCTGCTTCATTCCTTTCTACAATGTCAAACTCAAGTACTTCTTTAAGTCTTCTGTTATCATTGATTTCTACTTCTGCAGTCATAGCTTTTAGTGATCTTTCTCTTAATTAGAATACAATTTTATGTCCTTTGTCAGCACTTACCATTGGTTTGCATTGTTGTTCAATGCCAAGTACGTATAACTAAACTCGATTTTCAGACCTGGAGGAGAGTTCTGTGCTGTAAATCTTTATATCCTTCCCAGAGCACAGTGCTTTGTATGTAGATGACACCTATGAGGACATCCACTGATCTATTTGGCATTTGTAAGTCATGTTATTGAATGGTTCTTTTGTATCACACACTGGACCTTGGTACTGATAAACTAAAGTTAAACAAGATATAATATGATCTATGCCATCATAGTATAATAGTTAAATATGGGTATAAAATATTTAGCATATGTCAGTGACTCAGAAGAGGCAGTGAAGGAACATTTTATAGATATTTTTGCAAAATATTTTTGCAAATATTTGAACTGCCTTAATGGAAAACAACATTTCTCTTGAAGTGAAAGTAAAAAGAAACGTTTTTAAAATTATATTTTGACTTTATAGATTGTCTCTTTTATCCCAAGAATTTTTATAGTCTCATAAAAGTTTTAAAACACAATTTATATTGTTCGTGTACAAAAACCAAACACATCCCCTTTGGCACTTTCTAAAAATGGTAATTCTAGTAAACAGGGTATCATATTTCAGAGAGTTGCTTTAAAGTCATCTGAAATCTAACTTTCTTGCCCAAGGTCTCATTGTTGCCCCCAGATACTTTTATTTCTGCCTGTGGGAGTCTTGGAAACTGGACGTTTCTGTTAGTCTGTAGGGCTGCCTTAAGGACCCTTAAAATTGGAGCACTAAAAATGTGTGTTCTCTAGGCCATTGTGGTGGCACTAGACCTGAGACTTCTATCCAGGGACAAACGTAGACCAAAGTGGACTCCTTTCCCTTCTGACCAAAACACAGACCAAACAAACAAAAATGCTTGAATTTTTTTTTTACCCCAATAAGTTAACCTTAAATGGTTTTTATTATATTACGAAGACATTTACATTAGTATGAAAATATTAAGATATGTGTTTTGTTCAAGTAGTATTACTAAAGTTAATTCAAGAGAAAATACACTTATTTCTTCTTTGCCATTTTATTTGAACACAGTATAAAATTGGGATCTATAGAATATCAATTCAAGACTCTCAGTTATAACACTTATGCCTGAAAGTTTGGACTTTTTCTTCCCCTCACTGTTTCCTGAATTCTTGAAATAAGGTTGTAGTGTTTCTATACTGAAGTGCAGATTTAAATTTTTTTCTTGTGACATGGGTAAATGATTTACAGTGGAAGCTGACAGATCTTGGTTTGTATTCTAGCTGGGAAGCATTGAACAACCCTTCTGATGCAGGGACGCCCTCCTTCACAGGGCTGCTGGGCCCGTAAGTGATATGAGGGTCGTGCGGTGCAGTGGTCAGCATCCGACATGTGTTGTTATCCTCTCTTAAGAGCTTCCTGGATCCTGGTGGCTGAAAGTCTTTGATTAGGCAAGAGGAAGGGATCTGAATGAAGTCGACTTTCCAGCTGAGTTTTAAAAAATTATGCTGTTGGATAAAGGAACCAAATCTCAACACTTTCTTTGGCTCTTAATTTCAGTTTGTCCACAGGAGAAATTGAAAAGCGGGCCCAAGCCCTTCATCTCCTCCAGACTTTGAAGACTGATCCTGAAGCCTTTCAGAAGCACATGGCCAAGTATATTTACCCCACTATTGGTGGCCTTGATCACGAAAGGTTGCTGTATTATTTCACTCTTCTGGAAAACTGTGGATGTGCAGACTTAGGTAGACATGCCATTAAGCCAGAAACCCACATTCGGCTGCTGAAGAAGTTTAAAGTTGTCGCATCAGGTAGGATGCTCATGTCACTGCTCAAACTTGGTTTTTTAAATTAAATCTAGGGATTAATTTTTTGTACACAATTAGATTTATATACACAGAATATTGAAGTTGATCAGCTGTAGTTACTATTCTGTTTTTTCAATTCCTTCACTAACAGCTGAGGGAATTAAATATCAGAAAAAGTAAGAGACCTATTGAAAGTCATACAGTAAGTTCTGATAAACCTAATACTTAAACCCACAGCTTCAACTCCTGTTCCAGAGGTTTATCCCTGTTTCCATTGACTAAGACATTCAAGTTCGCTTCAATGGAGCCTATTTAAAAATATGCATGAAACACTTGAAAAAGAGCCTTTGCATCTTTGATAAATTGTGGAAATCTTTAGAATAGGGTCCCTGTGCTCATAATTAAGAAATTAAACATGCTAATACTACTGTTAAATCTTTGTGATAAGTTGCATGGCACTTTCATGTCTATATTTATTTGATATTCATAACAGCTTTGAGAATGTATTTCAGATTTTTTTTTTCCCCACTTACAAAGGAATAAGGGCTAAGATCAATCCCTGTCTATAGGTAGCTGATGAAATGCTAGATAAATAACAAATATAATGCAGTCTGGAGAAGACTTAGGACTTGTGGAAGCCTGGAGAGGTGAGAAGATACTGCCTTCCTGAGTGTACACATGAGAAAACTGAAGCACACAGAGTGGCCTGTCTAGGATTGCAGAGCTGATCAAGTTTCAGGCTGGGACCAGTTCTCAGATCTCCTCAGATCTTCTGATCTTTAAATGAAACCAACTGTCTAGTGTAAATGGGAGATTGTTTCTGTGTGTGTGTGTTTATATCTGAGTGAACCACTTACCCACTTTCTTTTCTCATTAGGTCTTAATTACAAAAAATTGACAGATGAAAATAAGAATCCTCTTGATGCATTGGAGCCAGTTCTTTCAAGTCAAAATATCTTATCTATTTCCAAGCTTGCTCCCAAAATCCCTGCAAAGGAGGGACGGATGCTTTTGCCCAGCTCTCTGTACACTGTTTGGTTACAGAAGTTATTCTGGACTGGAGACCCTCACCTCATCAAGCAAATCCCAGAGTCCTCCCCAGAGTGGCTTCATGCCTATGATATCTGCGTGAAATACTTTGATCGCCTCTACCCAGGTGACCTCATTGCTGTGGTGGATGCGATTACATTCTCTCCAAAGGCTGTGGCCAAGGTAACCAAAAGATAGAAAGTATGTTGAGTGGTTTAGAAGAAATGAAAATTGTTTTCACAGTCTGTAGATATGTTTTTATTTCCTTGAAGTAGAAAATGATTGCTTGTCCTTTGATTTTTTTTTTCCTTTCTTTTAGTTTTTTATTATTTTATTTATTTATTTTGCTAAGCATGAGGTTTTAATTGGGATCATTTTTCTCTATTACAGATTTTTAGATAGTGAAAATCAGATTCACCTGTTCTAACTTACATGGTTTTTTAATACATATTATATTTTTTGATATCATTTTAAAATACATTTTCAAGGGTAAAGAAACTCCATTGTTAAGCCAAGAGTACCTTTATTCAGAACTCACACTAACAATTTGTCTGTATTAAATTGAGCCCTTAAAAAATTTCACATTGAAAATCACACAACATATGGCTTGGAGATAGATAGACACTGCCTATCACATTTTCCAATTTTCCATACTCAGATCTGAACCCTTGGAGTTGATCTTAATAGCTGCTCTCAATCCCTCAGCAATGTGTACTTTCCCTCAGAAGAGATGGCGGAGGTCCTTCTCCCCTTCTCTCACTCACCCAGGTTTTATTGCTAGGAAAATATCCTTTCTCATTGCTTGGGCCCAGGGTGTTCTCTCTTATGGAAAATCTCCCAGCCTCTACAGAAAGTTGTTGTCTCTGGAATGCCTTTTTAAAAATAAAATCTCCTTTTGCCCATCTTTGCTTTCTCCTTACCCCAAGTCAGCTTCATTATAGTTAATAGTATCCTGGAAATGGGATAATTACAGAGAATACAAACCATTCATTTGAAGGTTGGCAAAGGAGTGGATCAAACATCTGTCGAGAAGGCTAGGTTTTACCTAACTAGATGCACAGTTGTGTATAACCAAAGACTTCTTTTTTTTTTTAATTGTTGTAACCCAAGTAATTTAATTAACAACTTGGTTTCCATTTTATAAGCACTACATTGAAAAGGAGATAAACATTTTTGTTACTTTCAAGAAAGAAAGTAAGAATTGTTTTAAAGGAAGATGCTATGGTATATTTGAAAAAAATCATAAGTTTGGAGTCATGCAAATCTGGCTTTAAACTCTGAATCTGTCACACATCAGCTATGTAGTGTGGCCTCAGGTCTTCTGCCTTTTCCAAGGCAGAGTCAGGGCTGAGTAATCTGTGAGGAAGATAACATTATTACTCTAACTTTATAGACAAAAGCTAAGTTGGTAATGAGGAGCCACAAATTGAACTCGAGGGAGGCTGACTTCCTCCATAGCCTTTATGTCTCGTCACTGAACTGTGCCACCCCTCAAAAGTCATAGAACAAATCATTGGAGCCAGTCTAGAGACAGGTAGGGTGCGATGGTCAGAGAACCCCAAGCATTTCAGACCCAAAAGAACAGACGCTCCTGGGCTATGTCCATAGCAAGGCTGGGTCCAAATGAGAGAGGCCATGCAGGAGCCTGGTAATATATGGGAACGAATAGATCCATGTGGTCAGTTTGTATCCTAGAAAAGTAACCGCAGAGCTGGGGCCTAAACCCTGGCTGAAAGGCAGATAAGCAAGGAGACAAGCCGAGGCAATGGGGGAGTCCCCTCCTAAGGCAGTCTCTCAGCCCCACTTCAGGCTAAAGGAGGTTTTAAATATTTTATGTGGGTGTAGGACTGGTTAGCGAAGGCTATATGCTAATTTGAGCGTGTATATGAAGGTATGTGTCTTGACAGTTTTAGACCTTCCAGCAGCAATTACTTATTAATGATTGAACCCTGTACCACAGTCTTAAGTTTACTTAGAGTTTTAGCTGTTATTTATGTTTTGAGTCTGATGATTTTAAGTTACAGCACATTTTCATGGCTTCATCTAATTGTAATCTTGCACTTTAAGATGTCTACCAACCGAGACTGGCGGGTCAGGCCCAGTGGCCTGCCAGCGTGGTACACATGTCACCCCAACTGGAGTAGGGGCAGAGCAGATCCTTCGCCCACGCCCGGATCAGGCCCTGCCGGTGTGGTGGTCACGTGAACCCAATTGGAGTGGGGGCGGAGTGGAACCGCCACCCGTGCCCACAGGGTGAGCAGACCTGTGACCAACCTGCAGATTAGGCCCAGGGGTCCGCAGGCATGGTAGGAGGGGCAGGGCAGATCTGTCGCCCGGGCCTGCAAGGTAGGCAGACCTGCGACAGACCGGCGGATCAGGCCCAGGAGCCTGCCGGCGTGGTACACACACCACCCTAATTGGAGTAGGGACAGAGCAGAGTCGCCGCCCGTGCCAGGAACAGGCCCAGCGACCTGCAGGCGGGTTAGCCACGACACCCCAATTGGAGTAGGGGCAGAGCAGAGCCACCACCCGTGCCCGAAATGTGGACAGATCTGCGACCGACCAGCGGGACAGGCCCAGTGGCCTGCCGGTACGACAGACACGTCACCCCATTTGGAGTAGGGGCAGAGTAGAGCCGCTGCCCGCGCCTGCAGGGTAGGCAAACCTGCAACCAACCGGCGGATCAGGCCCGGTGGCCTGCCGGCGTGGTACACTCGTCACCCCAATTGGAGTAGGGGCAGAACAGAGCCGCCACCAGCGCCCAGAACAGGCCCAGTGACCTGCCTGCTTGGTAGTCACGACACCCCAATTGGAATAAGGAGAGAGCAGAGCCGCCGCCCGCGCCTGCAGGAAAGATATGCAAGCAGTATGAAAAGACAAGGAAAGAAAGGACCACAAGCAGTGCAGGTCAACACAACTTTAGAAGAGGTAACAGCTGCAGCAGATGGAATGTCAGATAAAGAATTCAGGATATACATGCTTCAGATGATCTGGAGTATCAAGGAAGACATTAGACAGCAAAATCAGACAATGAAAGATCACTTCGACAATGAATTACGCAAACAAATCCAGGAAGCAAAGGATCAACTATACAGGGAGATAGAGGTTATAAAAAACAAACAAACAAATCCTAGAAATTCAGGAAGCAATAAACCAACTTAAAAACTCAATTGAGAATACTACCAGCAGAGTAGAACACTTAGAAGATAGAACATCAGACAATGAAGACAAAGTATTTCAACTTGAAAAGAACATAGACAGCTCAGCAAGACTGTTAAGAAACCATGAGCAGAACATCCAAGAAATATGGGATAACATAAAGAGACCAAACTTAAGAGTCATTGGGATACAGGAAGGTACAGAGCTCCAAACCAAAGGAATGAGCAATCTATTCAATGAAATAATACGAGAAAACTTCCCAGACTTGAAGAATGAGACAGAATCCCAAATCCTAGAAGCCTACAGGACGCCGAATGTGCAAAATCATAAGAGATCCAAACCTAGACACATTATAATGAAGATGCCCAACATACAGAATAAGGAGAGAATTTTAAAAGCTACAAGAGAAAGGAAGCACATTACATTTAGGGGTAAGCCAATAAGGATAACAGCTGACCTTTCAACACAGACTCTGAAAGCTAGAAGATCCTGGAATAACATTTCAAACACTGAAAGAAAATGGATTCCAACCAAGAATTGTCTATCCAGCAAAATTAAGCTTCAGGATGGAAGATGAAATTAAAACCTTCCACGATAACAAAAGTTTAAAGAATTCGCAGCTAGAAAACCATCTCTTCAAAACATTCTCGCCAAAACATTACAGGAAGAGGAAATGGAAAATAACAATGAAAACCAACAGTGGGAGGTAGGACAGTAAAGGGGGGGGGAAATAATCAAAGAGGAAAAGAAACCATGTTTAGTAACATAAATAAACAAATATGGCTGGAAGAACAACCCATATCTCAATAATAACCCTAAATGTTAATGGCTTAAACTCACCAATGAAGAGACACAGGCTAGTAGAATGGATCACAAAACAAGACCCAACAATATGCTGCCTACAGGAGACGCATTTGATAGGAAAAGACGTACATAGGCTGAAGGTGAAAGGTTGGGAAAAATCATATCACTCATATGGACTTCGGAAACAAGCAGGAGTGTCCATACTCATATCAAATAAAATAGATTTCAAGCCAAAGTTAATCAAAAGGGATAAAGAGGGACACTACATACTGCTTAAGGGAACCATACACCAACAAGACATAACAATCATAAATATTTATGCCCCAAACAATGGTGCAGCTGTGTTCATCAAACAAACTCTTCTCAAGTTCAAGAGTCTAATAGACCACCATACAATAATCACGGGAGACTTCAACACACCTCTCTCGCCACTGGACAGATCTTCCAAACAAAAGTTGAATAAGGAAATTATAGAACTCAATAACACAATTAATAACCTAGACTTAATTGACATATACAGAGTATACCACCCAACATCAAGCAGTTACACTTTTTTCTCAGCAGCACATGGATCCTTCTCAAAAATAGATCATATATTATGTCACAGGGAAACTCTTAGACAATATAAAGGAGTAGAGATAATACCATGCATCCTATCTGATCATAATGGAATGGAACTGAAAATCAATGATAAAAGAAGGAAGGAAAAAGAATACATCACTTGGAGAATGAACAATAGGTTACTGAATGATCAATGGGTTATAGAAGACATCAAGGAGGAAATTAAAAAATTCTTAGAGATTAATGAAAACACAGACACAACATATCGGAATCTATGGGACACATTGAAAGCAGTTCTAAGAGGAAAATTCATTGCTTGGAGTTCATTCCTTAAAAAAAGAAAAAACCAACAAATAAATGATCTCATACTTCATCTCAAAATCCTTGAAAAAGAAGAGCAAAACAACAGCAAAAGAAGTAGAAGGCAAGAAATAATTAAAATCAGAGCTGAAATTAATGAAATCGAAACAAAAGAAACAATTGAAAAAATTGACAAAACTAAAAGTTGGTTCTTTGAAAAAATAAACAAAATCGACAGACCCTTAGCCATGCTAGCGAAGAGAAGAAGAGAGATAACTCAAATTACTAGCATACGGGATGAAAAAGGCAATATCACAACAGACACTTCAGAAATACAGAAGATAGTCAAAAACTATTTTGAATCCTTATACTCCAATAAATTAGAAGATAGTGAAGGCATAGATAAATTTCTTAAGTCATATGATCTGCCCAGATTGAGTCAGGAGGATATAGACAACCTAAACAGACCAATATCAATTGAGGAAATAGAAGAAACCATCAAAAGACTACCAACTAAGAAAAGCCCAGGACCGGATGGGTATACAGCAGAATTTTACAAAACCTTTAAAGAAGAACTAATACCAATATTTTTCAAGCTACTTCAGGAAATAGAAAAAGAGGGAGAACTTCCAAATTCATTCTACGAGGCCAACATCACCCTGATTCCTAAACCAGACAAAGACACTTCAAAGAAAGAAAACTACAGACCAATATCTCTAATGAA